TGGAGTCGAGATCTATTCCTCACAAAGTGTGCCTCACAGCATATCCTAGCCGCACATTGAGAAGATCCATTGTACTTGTATTTATTATTTATGGGTAGAGATATTCCCAATATATGTAGAAAATGACTGTAAGGTCAATATGAGATGACATCTGTGAGGAACAGATCCCAATGCGTCAGAGTGGCGCCGTGGCGGTTTGAATCAAGTTGGTCCTTCATCATATGGCCACTGGGCCCTTGGATGACTCATTACGTTTTAGTTACAACACATATCACCCCTCTATCTAAGATCTGGGATTTTTTAAACAATTGTTTAGTAGAATACCAGATTAATTTGGTTATTGAACATAAATCAATGGCCTAACTATATAATTTCTTTTAATGGTCACTAATAAAGGGCGAAAATATTTTCTTTTGAAGGGGATGAAGAAAGAGACTGAAGTACACAAAACAGGGGCAACTCTAAAGAACGTTGCCTTGAATCTCATTATCAATTTCATAAATGTTTTTTTTTTTCACCATTCCCTCACAGACGTGATCGCATTTCTTTGACCCAGGTTGATATGTTCCATATGTATCCAAATTTGATTAGCCAATTCACATTTTCGAGAAGATATGAGTGCAATCTTCAATAATTCCACAAAAGCAACAATCACAGTCAACATTCATTCCCTTCCTAGAGGAGTTCTCATAAAGGGCTTCCCAGATTTTTTGCAATCTCTGTATGCAAATTTAACCGAAAAACAGCCATCACCTTCCGTAACACACTTTAACTGGAAATGTTTCTAGAAATCCAAAATGCCCACCATATTTCAATTATTTATGTGGAAATTCTTATGGGATGGCATACACAATAAGGACAAATAAAGGGCAAATTTGGTATTTTATTTTTTTATTTAGTATTTAACGATGATGACAGTTGTCAGAAACAGTAGGAATATTTTAAGACAGTGTCTGAACAGTAAATAGAAGGACGTGATATCTTTTTTATTCCATCTCTTTTGTGCATGTAAATAGAAACTTAAATTATGCTGCTCGTATCTTAGCCTATACGGACCAGAGCCAGCTATCTGTTATATTTGATATTAGCAACATGGCACTTTAAGGGTGGGCCCCATTTAATAATTAGTGTTGAATTTCTATTTTCTTTAAAAAGTATTCAAGCATGTTCACATTAATGATCCTATATTTTCTTAAACCCTAGCTAATCCTTTTATAATAGTTAATTAGTAGAGACCTGTGTAATGTATGGGTTTTGTTAAGCGAAAGCTAAACAATAGAAACACATAAGAGTATACAATTGTTTTATATTTTATTTGTTTAAATAATTAATAATTATTTATATTTTATATACTACTTTTAATATTTTTATTAATATAAAATTAATAATAGTAATTAATTTCAGCTAGGGTTGTCATCAAATCGATGAGACCGAGCAACCCGATCCAACTCAACTCGAGTTGGTTAGTTTTCTAGTATTTCCAGTATGCTTTGGTTCAACAATTTCCAAACCTAACTAGGTTGGGCAAGTTTTTAAATATATTTTTTTAATATAGGAAAGTGGGAAATTTTTCATATTTCTTAGTCTAAAATATTTTATGTCGTAATTTTAATTTTTTAATTTTTTTTAATAATACCAATGTATTTTTTAAATTTTATTTTAAGATTAAATCTTTTGAACCGACTTATTAAACTGAAAATTGACCCAAATCGGTACAACTTGAGTTGGTTGATTTTTAGTAATGATCATTTGATTTCGAGTGACCACCTCCCCAACCTGACTCGGTTGATTTGATTGGCCAAAAAGCCTGCAACTGAACCAACCCAACCCATGAACGCTCCTGATTTCAGTTAAATTAATAGTCTAATTTCTAATAAATAACAATAGTTTAATCACCAAATAACTATTGAAAATTTATAGTGAAAATACACAATTATTGAAAATAAATTTATAATGAAATTATAATAAATAACTATTAAAAATAAAATAATTAAAAAATACAGCAAATACTGAAATTTTATTAAATAAATCAATAAAATACAATAATTAGAATGATAGCAAAAATAGAATAAATAGAATAAGTACAATAACTTAAATTAAAAAAGTTAAAAAAGAGTAGTTTAATATCTCTAATAATTGTTGAAATCTTTTTATTAAATAAAAAAAAAATAGATTTATACATAATTATTGAAAATATATTTATCACAAAAATACAACAAATAATTACTAAAAATACAATAAATATTAATTTTAGTATTTATATAAATTTTATAAATTTATTAATTGATATAAATGAAATTAGTTATTTATAATATTATTTAGTTATTTAAATGGTATCACTATTTAAAATTTTAAAATATTAATTATTTGTTGAATTTAAGAAAAAATTAAAATTTATTACGTAATATATTTATTTAAATATTTAGGTAATGATATTTAAAATTTGTTGTTATTTGAATTTTACTTACTTTAAAGTTATTACATAATATTAAATATTTTATTATATAATTATTTAACTATTTTTAATATTTTGTGATATAAGATATTTAGTTATTGAAATATTTAAATAATATTTTATTTTTTTAATGTTAACTTTTTATTATTTGAATAACAATTAAATTGAATAATCCATTAAATTATAATTTATATTGTTATTACATAATTTCGTGATAAATTTTGTAAAATATAAAATTATAAATAATATAAATAGTATTAAATCTATTATAATTATTTTTTTTTTGTTTTTAATAAACATTTTAAAGTTATTGTATAATTTTTCTATAATATTTAAATAATTCTCAAATTTTTTAATTGAATCTCTCTTTAGATAAATATAGATAAAAAGTGAGGGAGAGGATAAATAGGAAGTAGTGATAATTCATGAGAGAAATTCTCTACTAAATTAGATATAATTTAGGTGATAAATAAGAGTTAGAGATTTAGGAGAAAGTGGGGGATAGTGGTGCCACTTTACTAACATTAGAAAAACTATTGTTAGAGAGGAGATTATTTAGGTGAGGGAGGTAGGGATGGCAATTTTCCCCATCCCCAACGGGGACCCGACTTTCCTAACCCCATCGGGTCGGGGATGGGGATTGAGGTCCTTGCCCCACCCGACCCCGATTATGCATGTATGTGTGTGTATATATATATCAAAATATATTTAAAATAATATATATATACATATTATGTTATTTATATTATATATACATATCAAAATATATTTAAAACATTGTTTATAATTTAAATTATTTATTTATTTTTCAAAAAAATACTATTATCTAAAAAAATTTTGGGGATTCAAGTCCCCACGAGGAACCCATCCCCGTTGGGGATTGGGGATGGAGGACAAATTTTATCCTTGGCGGGGATTGGGGACGAGGAATATGATCCCCGCCCTGAACCTGCCCCATTGCCATTCCTAGAGTAAGGTAGTTTAGGAGAAAATTGAGGGGATGAGATTGTTTAGGTTATTGGGGAAGGGGTGTGTGTGTGTGTGTGTGAGAGAGAGAGAGAGAGAGAGAGAGAGAGAGAGAGAGATGTGTGTATTAGTTAAAATGCTTGCATGTTAAGAGAAAATGAGGGGAAAATATGAAAACAAGGGGATCTAAGTGCAAAGTAGCATTTTCAATCCGCTATGTCTTGCTAGTTCAATCTTTCGAATTGTTACTTGGTCAAGAATCAAGATTTTAGTCTGGTTTAATTTGCATGAAACCTGTAATTTGGTCAAAAATTGTCCAATCCAAGTAGTTGAATCGTTAATCTATTTGACACATAACTAGGTCACAAGTTGCACACTCAATGTATGTGCAAATTTTCGGAGGCCATAGCTTTGTGCTTAGATATTGTCCGATTGTTTTTTTTTTATTTATTTTGGGTAACTTTTCAAGATATATATGCATTGACGCCTTGCCTTGCCTTGCTATTTTTGCCAAAAATAACTCCTTTTTTGGCCTCAAATCACAATTTTAGCATTTTTATAAATAAAAAAATAAAAATTGAATTGAAAAATATAACTCGTTGCCACACACACATAGGCAAATTTCTTAAACTACCATTATGATTTAGATAATTGACTAATTCTACCCTTACTATTTACATACTCTCTTAAAATACCCATATTGTTTCTAACAATTATTTAAAACCTCCCTTATTGTTAACTTTCCATCACACTCCATTCGCATGTGACTGGTATTTTTTTTTTTATTTCTTAAAATACCCTTCCTGTGACTTGTTCATCACCCTCAACCTAGAGCTCTCTCTTCTCCCTCCTTATTCCCATGGCCAATTGAACTACCATTTCTCCCAAAGCTCAAGTTTGAATTGAAATTCCCTTTCTCAATGAAACTTGGAAAATTTCAAGTCTACTGATCTGCTCTTCAACTTGAAAAACAATCTAAATAGAACTAGTTCACACTTCACAACCTTGGCTGACAACAGGTTAAAAAAAGTGAATAACCAGTAGATTGGAGCCTTGCGTCATTTCGAGATTGATAAGTCATCATTGTTTGTAGACTATTAATATTTATTTTTCTCATTTTTTTAATTTAGCTAATGTACCAACTCATCCACCCCTGACTTGGCTTGAACTTGAACAAATAAAGAATTAAATGGATAACGTGTCGCGCTCAAAAACTCCAAAGCAGCCCAAGCTGTTTTTGGAACGGCGAAACTTTTCCCCAAGTTTTGGGCCAAGGCCTAAGGCCTAAGGGTGTGATGATTTTATCTTTCCCTCTGGACGGACTCCGGATCTCCTGCTCACGAGAATACTGCAAACGTCTACCATAGTTTGATGCGCAATGCCTGCTCACGAGAATACTTCCCCTCTCTTTTCTGCCAAAACCTCCTTGGCGATATTATAATAATACGGTATCTCTTCAATATGAGCCACTAGATATGAAAATAAGGACAAGAATCAATCCATGAACTTGCCTCTTATCCAACGGTCTTTAGTTCATCTGATATCATATTAAATTACGTTCAGGGATGACTCGCAATTCCTTCGACCAGGCAACTACCTCTTCGGCTCTCTCTGGAGCAAACGAGAAACGACCATGTGTTTGTGAGGATGAAACCCGACAGAAGAGTGTCGAATTGCTCTCTTCTCACGCTTCGTGGGATGCTGAGGGCGATGGTAGCTTTCCTCCTTGTGATCTTCTTTGTATTCGCCGGTGAAGCCAACTGTTCAACTGAACACCGATACCTTCATCATCGATCAGAGAGGAGTTTGTGTGCTGAGCTCATTCAACCCTACGGTTATCCTTGTTCCGAGCACACCGTAATCTCAGCCCCTCTCTCTCTCCCTCCCTCCCTCCCTCCTTATTACTGAGAATTGAGTTTATTTTCTTTAGGTTCAGACGGAGGATGGTTACCTCTTAGCTCTTCAACGCGTTTCGTCTAGCAAGGGCGGAGTTATTAAACTCAAACCGGGTCCTCCCATTCTCCTTCAACACGGGTTGTTTCAGGTAGTCTTCTTGATAGCAGTTCTATCATTCGTATAATTGAACAACATACACTGTGCATTTATTGTTGTATCATCTGCTGAATGGGTACCGTGTGTTGCATTGGTGGATGCTGGATTGATGTAGTTGGAAAATTTTGCTTTGCAATTGTTTCAGTTCTTGAGCTTTTTTTCCTCAATCGATTCACTAAATCGCCTGAATTCATGCCCATGAAAAGATGGAGAATAGCTGGGTTTTGATGGATTCGGTGAAGGGTGACGTTATTGTACTCTATCATCAATCCTAATTGATAGAGCTCTGAGGAGTATCTAGGAAACTGGAAAATGGAAACAGTGTATGTGCTAGTGGGTGTTATGGGCTAGTATGTTTTAATGTAAAAGGTAGCTATCTGATTTTCTCCCATCGCTTTCCTCCAGAGCAAAATGTAAATTAAAGGATTTGTTTGAATAGTTCTTTATACCACTTAAACTTCGAATCTGCTGATAACAACACCAATCCTAATTCATTCCAGGGGTCAGTTTGTGGCTTTGTGTCAATAGGCCCATGCATAAACTATAAAGAGTTTGCTTGTGAAATATCCGTGATTTTCCTTTTAATGTGTTCATTTTTTCATTTCAGGAGTTCAAAATGTTAGGTTGAAATTTGAAGATTAGGTTCAAGTATAGGAAGGTAAATCTAGTTATAAGCCTCAATTTTTTTTTTTTTAATTTCTCAATAGGGTGTAAATAAACCGAGGGCTCTCAGTCAAGCTCATGTTTGCTTTGGTTTTACCACTTGCTGTGCCACACTTATTATAGCTTAAAGTCAATAGCTGAATTTCCTTTTCAACAAATGATAATTACATGTGCTCATTAAGACTTTTCAACTTCATTGAGATGTTGCACTCCTTCCTGGATGGGTTTTCCTTCTGAGTGAATCTTTTCCTTCTATAATTTATATCACATGCGTTCTTCTTTCACAGAGGGTGTGCCCAATTTATCAAAAATTGTATGTGCCCAAATTAGCACCCTTTTATTTCTGAAAAGCAATATCTCAACTTTCATTTTTTTTCCATTTGCGATTAGTCTCAGGAAAGATATCTTCTAGGTTCTGCAGTTACCATTTTGACGTTTACATATTTTCCATGAGGTTCATTGGTGTTTTCAAAATTTAATGAACAGATCTTTGGATTGTTGTCTTGTTATTATATTATTGTATCTATCTTGAACATCTCTGTCTTGGAATCTATTTATTTTTCATTTCCCCTGCTAGTACTTGGGGCCTTATGAGATTGCATTTTTATAACTAAGGAGAAAATGGTCTGTAAATTTTTGAATGATTAAGGTAAAATTTGGCAATTGATTTGGATAATGGTAAAACATGGTCAGGGAGGAGATACATGGTTTGTAAATTCGATGGAACAATCGTTGGGCTTCATCCTTGCAGACCATGGTTTCGATGTGTGGGTTGGGAATGTACGCGGCACTCATTGGAGTCATGGACATATCTCTTTATCTGAGAAAGATAAGGTATGCATACTTTTTACCATATTTTACCCTTTCTCCTTCCCTTCAAAACGTGTGTTTGTGTGAATCCTGAGGTTCCTATTTGAATATTATGTTTGAACCCTTTTTTGAAAAAAAAGAGAATTACTATTTGAATCATATGATTTGATTCATGAATCTTACCATTTATAAGATTGATGTGATTTGAATAAATTCAATAGATACATCATTGTACTATTTTTTTTCAGGGGCTTTTGGCTCAAACCATTACTAGAATATGATTTAAAATACAGGTTAAAGAGACACTATATGTGGGTTAATCAACTTCCAAGTCAAACTAGATTATATTATCTTAAAATATGGTTACAACTTTTAGAACTTGCAAGGCAACAAGATAGCACCTTGTTGCCAATGCATTGCTTATTTAAAATATGGTTCAAGCTTCTCTGTTAAACATCTTATGTGACAAAACAAGCCAAGCATTACATAAACAAAAAATGAACAAAAATAAAATTGGCAAGAATAGATAGGATAGAACTCCTATTCCTTTTTTCCAATATATACAGGGATAGAGAGCTAGAGAGAGGAAAAAGAGAGTGAGGATTGGCAATATGAAGGAAAAAAACCTAGGGGATGGAGCCCTGCCTTTGTTCACAGAAGAAATATAGATTTTTTTTTTTTTATTTGGATCAGTAACTGTGAGATTTCATTAATTATATAGTAAGACTACAATTTTATGAACCAGGCTGGACATCTCAACCCAAAGAAAAATTGCACCACAGCCCAAAACATTTGATCCTTGGAAAGTGGAAATACTTTGTTTGGCTAAGGAAACTGCCAAATATACAAATCGCTTTACTTTATATACGTATGTACCTTTATGTGGGTTTGATTATTGGACTCTTTATTTCTTTACTTCTCTTCTTTGATCGTGTCCTCCCCCAAGCCCTTGAAAAATTGTTTCACATTAATATTTATAAGTGGTGATAACACACTGAAATATCAAACTACATCTTACTAAGTAAACAGATAAAAGGCATTTGTTGCCAATTTTCTCATGTAGGTACTTTCCTTTTGCTTAAGTTGGCACACTATGTATAATACATACGATGTACTTTCCTTTTTCTCAACACACCTTATTGCATGGGCAGTGCATTGGTGCCAACTTTGTGATAGCATGATTACTATGGTATATAGATAGAAATAAGGAGTCTTACACATATACATACAAAAAAATATCAATTTGTGTGTATCGTGCATGTGCTTTTGTTTTGTAGCATTATGAGATTTTGCCTCTGTTGCAGGAATTTTGGGATTGGAGTTGGCAGGAACTTGCACTGTATGACCTAGCTGCAATGATCAACTATGTACATGCAATGGCAAATTCCAAAATTTTCTTTGTGGGACATTCCCAGGTCCAAACGTTAAAGACTAGATTGCCTTTATTTTTCCACTGATTTTCTTATAGTGTTGCTGCTTATTCCAATTTAGAACTCATTTCCTTTTTTTATACTCATTATAGGGAACCATCATGGGTTTAGCTGCTTTCACTCAGCCAGAGATAGTGGATATGGTTGAAGCTGCTGCACTTCTTTGCCCTATCTCTTATCTGAGTCATGTCAGTGCTCAATTTGTACGTAAAATGGTCAACATGCATCTTGATCAGGTATCATTCATATCCAAATATGTTCGAGTGGTCAAGTTTTCTATGACAAATGGTTTCCACTAATGGAGAAGTTATGCTGTACATTCAGATGCTTCTGGCCATGGGCATTCATCAGCTTGAGCTTAGAAGGTCTGACCAGTTTTTTCCCTATGCTTGGGTTGGAATATATGAATCCCTACTAGTTCTGTCTCGATATGAAATTATCATTTTATCATGTGTTTTTGTTGTATCATCCAGTGATACAGGTGTTCGCATAATGGATTTTGTATGTGATGGTCATATTGACTGCAACAACTTGCTATCTTCCCTAACAGGTTCTCTCTCTCTCTCTCTCTCTCTCTTCATCTATGCGTGTACATACCCATATTTTTATTGTTGTCCATCTATCCATAAATTTTTTGTACACACATTTACACATATGGTATCACCTGTAGAACTGGAATTTGGATTTGTCTAAGTCAAGCCCAACCTCACCCAATACAGGTTTGGGACTTGGATTTTGGGCTCTTAAATGCACTTGGTCCTGGAAACTTGGGCTTGAGTTGAGGCCTCTGGTAGCCCCAAACCAACCAAACATACAAATATGGAAAATCAGAGATGACAATGTCTACAAGCTGGAAAATGTTGACAAATCCATATACTATGGTCATTCTGATGGAGTCTCATAACATGGTCATATGTACCATTGTTAGACACAAATATGAAGTGTCACATGTATTCATATCAACTAACCTAAAGCACTATTATATCCTTGGTTTCTCAAGAGTGCATTCCATGTTATATTTGAGATATTATTTCAAAATATTTTAGTTAATGTAAGTATCAAAAAAAATATTTTAGTTAATGTAGTTATGTAAGTTTATAATATAAAAAGAATTTATATAGTCTGATAATACATGAAAATTATATGATTGGTATGTAACCAATAACCCAATATTAGAGAAAAGAAGAGCAATATCATGCAGTTGACATGAGTATGGAACAGAGACTTGAAATGGACCTCAGAAAATGAGATGCCCTTAGTGTGTGGAATGTGATCATGAAGTGATGTATAAGCCTTTCACAGTACTAATGTTCATTAGTAACTTAGCATATGACATTAAACAGAATGGAATGGAAAAACAGGATTCATGTAGACAATCCCATATAGTTGAATAATGCTTGAGTGATGATGATGATGATCTATTTAGGAAGCAGTACTAAAATGTTAAAGCAACATGATAATCCACCAGTTGACCATTAAAAGCTACACAACTTACTGAAATGAAAATGCAAGCGCACATCAGAAAAATTTTGACAATAAATTGACATTAAGAATTACGAGGAAGTTTTAGGTGCCTTAATTGTATTTAGAAAAAGTACTTATATGTATTCTAGTATTTACATTGCCAAATTTCTTCACTTGTATTATAATCTCTTTGAATGCAATTCCATCTGCAGGGAAAAATTGCTGCTTCAATGACTCAAGAATTGACTACTATCTTGAATATGAACCTCATCCTTCATCATCAAAAAACTTCAACCATCTATTTCAAAGTATGCTTTTTAGATTTTTCTGTAGCACTTTGTTTTTGTGGTCCATCTTAGATTAACAGGAAACTTGGAATTTCTTTTACTACTTGCCAGGCAAACTTTATTGTTTCCATTGTCACTACATGATGAATTGATGATCGTGAAGCTTTCCGGTTGACTTATTGTGCCATAAGTGTTCTGAAAAAATTCTGTCATGTTTGCATAGTAAATTCCTTACAGCATCTTGGTGCTACACATTTAAAAAAAAAATCTGCTTTACAAGTGTAGGGCCCAAAGGCAGTGGAAAATAAGGTACACTACATCACTATTTTTGCAGAATCTTAAACTTCACATGATAACATGGATGACTTGGCCATATTTTCCACTTCCTGCTGATCCTAGGCTCTTACAAGAACAGGAGTGGAAGTGAACTCAATGTTACATTCAGAATAAACTCAACATTTTTATTCTCATGAATTCAAGTTTTATAGGTCAAAGTTTATCATTTCTATTGTCTATAGGTTGGCATACAAACTAAAGGCCAATTATGTCATGTTGCTAAGGCTTGTATGATATCTCATAAACTACTTGGATACATGCATTGTTGTATTTCTGGTACGTTGGTTTCCTAATCTTAGTGTGAATGATGAGAAAGAAAAAAATAAGAGAGAAGAGAAAAAAGAGCAGAGATCATTGGTCAACAATACCACATACCTATATATCTATCTTAAGAGAGAGACTCTTAGGATTAGAACTATCATCCAAAATAAAGAAAAAAGGGATCCAATGGCTGATATTACATTCATTTAGGTCCATATATATATATATATACCAGCTTCCATCATCAGGAGCCTTTGCTTGGTGGAAGGCTTTGCTTTGTATAACTGAAGTTTTCAACCTCTTACTATGTAGTAAAAAGATTGAACTGTATACAATCTATCAATTGTAGGAAATTCTTTCAATGTGCAGTCTTTCTTTAACTGTTGGGCAGGTAAGAAACAGCATGTCCATGTCCAAAAAATGAGTGTGGCAGAAATGAATATGCTTGGATGGATGAATGGTCATGTGCATAGAAGACCATCCACAGTGCCTGTTAGAAGAATTGATCTGTTATAAGTTACAGGGTTTGGGCAGATCGAAAAGAACTTGGGCAGAAATAGTAAGAAATGATTTAAACACCCATAATTTGATGATGGATATGGAACTGAACAGAATGGGATGGAAAAACAGGATTCATGTAGCCAACCTCATATAGTTGGGAGTCTTGGGACAAGGCTTAGATGACGATGATGACAGTACCACAAAGGTTCTTAATTCCATTTCCCGATAAAAAAGGAGTATTTATTTGATGAGAATGAACCAAAATGCAAGCAGATACAAGTTTTTAATAACTAATGTACCGTTTCTGGATTTTTTTTACTTTTTATTTTTCAGAAACAATTAATTTGCATTTATCAGAGAGAAACAATTAATTTGCAGAAGAAACTCTAAAACTAATTCACTGATAAGAAGAGATCTAAAATAGTCTGGAAAAGAAAGGAAAAAGAGGATTTATAATAGATCCCAAAGATTTAGACTGCATATAATCCACAAAAGAATTAAACTCCCTCAATGGGCTATCAAATACTTAGATGAGTGGATCAGCTCAACTCTTTAGAGATTAAACTGGGTTCTAGCTATGTTACCCAGATACGGCAAGGGCATAGGGCTGCAAATAGATCAGATAAATCCAATTCATTTAAGTTAGATTTGAGTATCTGTTTAACCACAATCAGATCAGATCAGATTTAAAAATGTGATTAGTTTATTAATTGGATTGAATTTGGGTGATCTGCTAGGATCTGATTTGATTATATGTAATTATATGATAATATATGTGTTTATGCATGTGTGTGTTTTTTACTATTAAACCCTTTTTAGAATTTTAATTCAAAGTTCTTTAGAAGTAGATTTTGGGATTTAGATAAACATATTTATATCTATTTAGAATATATAGTTTTGGTAATGGGCCACACAACAGGGGGTAGCCCTCCCCCAGCCCAGGTGAAGGTGGGACTTGATCCCAGACCTCCACTACAATCAGCCAGAGACTTTACTGGCAGATTAGATGGCACCTTCCTTTTTTTGGTTAACAGGAGGTTATCCCTATCCAATTTGATCTGATCTGTTTTCAACCCTATCTGGAGATTCTGGACATGATGTTGGATTGAAATTTATACTAAAAATTGAAGTATTCTATAGCACAATAGGAACCTTTTCTACAGGTATCTAGGTATCATAAGGTTCTAGTAATCCAATTACCAATTATAAGAAATAGAAGGATGAAGTCCAGTTCTAACACTCCAATAACCAACTAAAAAAACACATAAGCACATAGACCAGATACCTGGAGTCCTAAGAAATGTGAATCCAAGATTGATTACTAAGGAAACTACAGTTCTAAGTAAACTAGTTACTTCTAGTCAAACCTATATTTGAAATTTTAAACCTATAAGTGGTCCCCAATCATAATAAGAGTTGCTTATAATCTTGGGGCAGATGCAAAACCTTCCACCACTTTACTATAGAAAAGGAAGCCATGAATGATAAATTTGAAATTACTATAAACATTTCTATTTGCTGTAACAAGTAAATGGGAGTTTGCTTTAGTAGCTGAAAAACACAAATTACTGAGGATAAGTTTACAGCAGGTATTGAGATGGATGAACTTTAAGGAACCTAGGAGTAAATCCAATAGGTGTGATAAAATGAGGGAAAGTAGACTAAGATGCTCTGGTCACGTGCTGAGAAGACCATCTACAACACCAGCAAGAAGGGCACTGAAGTAATTGGGGAAACCAAAAAGGGCATGGGTCTAAGCAGTGAGAAATGATTTAAGGGCCTATAATAATGGATATGGCACTGAACAGAGTGGAATGGTGGATTCAAGTTGAAGTTCTAGAATTAATTGGGGCAACCAAAAAGGGCATGGATCTAAGCAGTGAAATGATTTAAGGGCCCATAAAAATGGGTATGGCACTGAACAAAGTGGAATGGTGGATTCAAGTTGAAGTTCTAGAAGTAATTGGGGCAACCAAAAGGGCATGGGTCTAAGCAGTGATAAATGATTTAAGGGCCTGTAATAATGAATATGGCACTGAACAGAGTGGAATGGTGGAACAGGGTTCATGTAGCTGGGACCAAGGTTAGTTGAGTTGAGCTGAGTAAGTTTACAGCAGAATCTTAATTTTGTTCCCTTGTCTATAGTGATCATCATCATCCAAGCCTTTAGTGCACCGGCATTTTGAGAAGGTATTTATTTTTTGATGAAGGCTATGGAATTATATTCTATTAAAAAGAGAATGAATCACTCCATAAACATCAAGGCACTATACATGGAAAAAGTGCTCTAGAAAAAGTCATGTTTTGACAAAGAGAGTTGGAATCAAGAAAGGAAGCAAATCTCATGCCTCTTAAAGTCGTTCTGAACTGATGGCCAAGATAGGATCATTCCAATTGCATTTCTTTGTACTTTCCTCAAAGGATTGACTTCTGCACATGAATATTGAATTATTGATATGAAGTATGTACTTCAAATGTTCCTCCACCTGTATGAACCAATGACCACATCACAATCTTTTTATTGACAGCAAACAGAAGACAGAGAAAAGGTAGAAATTATATTTCTTGTTTATGAAGAATACATTTGGGTGGTGAGAACAGGCAAGTCAGTACATGGGTGCTGAAGTTGGAGATTGTGTGGTTACAGTGTCTTATGGTAGGAAAAATGAAAACAAGGATGGGGAAAGGTGCCATCACAAATTGAAAAGAATGTGGAGTGAGCATTTGCTTCAAGGGAGAAGGTGAGAGACATAATGTGGTGGAGTGAGCATTACCAAGTGAAGTATATCATTGCCATGATTTTAGGGGCTGAAGGTTTGAATTTCTATTTCTAGGTCTGAAATCTAAGTAGAAACTAATGTATTTAATAATATAATGAGAGAGCATATATATGAAGAAAAAAAACAATGGTATATTCTATGAGATACTAAATTATATGTAGAATAAGATAATAAGACAACGATGTTAACTTCCTAGTATCTCCTTGTTAAAACAAAATTGATATATGTACGTTGATGCTGTTGCATCATTCTTTTGATAAGCATTGGTTTCATTACTGGCAAACTTTTATCTGGATGAATCATCTACAAGTCCTTACTGGCAAGAGTAAAATTCTCCTTTCTGTTCTGCTGTTTCCTCCTTTCCTTATAAAATAGATCTATTGTTGCATCCTTGTCTCAATTGGATATATATGCAGACCCTTCACAGTTTAAAATGATATTTCTGTTGGAAGATTTGCTGAAACTATAGATGCTTTTATACTTGATCTCGGAATTTCTCCTAGCCTAGCCATTATAAAATGTTGCCGTTCTACAAGAAGATCCAAAGGTAGGGTCCAGAGAGACAATTTTGACTAAGAAGGATAAATGGTCCATGCATTTTATAGAAGAAAATTTCTAACATACAGGGTACTGGTGACAGGTAGTTGGCTGGTGGTGGGATTTGAAAACCCTGTTATTAATTTTCTTACCTATAACAGCGTACAGTAAAGTGGGCCTATCAATCGGTCGTATCATCTCCAATCACTCCCTCTCTACACTTTATTCTCTCTTGTCAAATCTAAAATCTCTTAATCCCATCCTCTCCCATTTATATTCCAAATATCAAAATTTTCTTCACCATAAAAGTGAAATTATCTTTTATAGAATTCTTGTTCTTTGTTTTATGATTCTTTTTTTTTATGAATTTCTTTGTTTTACCATATTATCATCTCAGTTGGCCCATTTACACTCCAAGGCTCATAATGAGAGATTTAGTTTCTGAAGAAATTTCTTATTCTACTAAGGTCAGTGTTTTAAAACACAGTCCGGAGGCTGAATTGCTTTCCTCTCCGGGCTAATGGGTCATCATCTAACCGGGTCTGTAAACCCATGATATTATAAAAAAAACAATAAGATAAAAGAAAACAAAGAAAAAAACTGGAAACCTGTTAAATGGGTCAAATCGACCAACCTTTCATCCGTCGGAATTGACAGGTGACTGACCAAGTCAACGCTATCATGAAAAGTTGAGTTGGAGGTTGACCCAAACTGGAATTGCAACTGGGTGGCAAGTCAACCAGTCGGACTGGCCAGGTTGATGGGTTGTAAACATTGATACAGATTTAAATCTTTGGAGTTCCAATACTTTTAAATCAACTCCCTCCGCATAGGCATTCGACAATTTTGTTTATTGGAGATCATGAATTTGATATTTATGTTTTAATGACTTACTAACACTGTTTTGCAGTGATACGGAAGGGTACTTTTGCAAAATACGATTATGGGTGGTGGGGAAACATGAAGAAATACGGCAATTTGCAGCCCCCATCATTTGACATCGGTTGCATACCTGAGTCATTGCCATTATGGATGGGTTATGGGGGTAATGATGCCCTAGCAGATGTGACAGATGTGGAGCATACTCTCAAGGAATTGCAATGCAAGCCTGAGTTGCTTTATCTTGACTCTTATGGGCACATTGATTTCGTACTGAGTGTAACTGCAAATGAAGATATATACAAAAACATGATCGGGTTTTTTAGGTCATGGGGGAAGCCTAATAGTTCTTAAGTGACTGGTTGCTCTACTACCTGCTGCAGTATGTAATATTAATTTCTAGTCACTAAATGTAATTGGTAGTTGCATATATTGTAAGTATGATAAAAGTTCATACAACTCCTTTTTCCTTCTAAAGAGGAAATAAAGATTTCAGGTACATTAATTGGTGTATTCCACGTGCACCGCCTTTACAGGATTGGAGATGAAGCAAATCTTCCTCAACAATCAAGAATAAGGAAATGAGAACAAATTCTTCTGATTTGTTGATCTTACTGGAGAAGCTATCAAGCAAATAGTACAAGACATGGTTCTGTGGGTCCAAACTCCAACGTATTAGAATGCAACATGGTTAAGGTTAAGTTCATAAACAAGTATGAGGTTTATCAAAGGCCCTCCACCTTCATTCAACTGTTCGTAAAATAGCAGTAATCCTTTTTGTTTTTTTTTGTCTATTTTTGGGCGGTATATATATATTTGCCTCTCTTCTTTATAAATTGCCGATGCGCCCTAATACATTTGCAAACTTCGTGTAAAACTTGCAACAAATTTCGGCTATTAACCATATCAATTTTGAGAGGTCAAAATATTTAACATGTGCAGGTGCTAATTGGCGAGTAAAGCCAGAAATGTAGCCAACATAAATTGTTTACTCCACCTAAAAAGCTAAAATATAGGGTAGATTACATAAATGTCCATGCTTTTCAACACTTTACTGCCTTCCCCTATTATCTTACGAGTCTATGATAGAAATCCTTAGTAGAATATGTGAAATAACTAAGGTTTTAAAACCATTGTTGATCCGGACAGTCGAACCGCTTGGCCCATAAACTGATTACGGTGTCGGTTCCGTTTCATCCCCAAACTGTTGTTTCTCCAAAAATCCTTGAATTGGTCCTGGGCAACTGAAATTTCGACCTGTTCAACCTTAACAACAGTTTTCAGGCTAATTTTTTATTTTAACTATTTTTAATTTTTTAAAGCATCACAGGTTGATCTATTCAGACCAGACGGTCAAACTACCGGTGGCCAAAAGCAGGTCCGTTTCCAGAACGGTTTTTAAAACATTGGAAATAACATTACTACCCTGATGCTTAGTTGACTAGAGAAATGAATTGATCAGAGAGGTTACATTTGCTCATCCAGCATTAAAAAAAATTCAAAAAAAAAAAAAAAACGAGACATGGCCTTATCATCCAAAATAAACCGACACAAAACCAGACTAATGGGGGAAATTGATATTGTCGTTCTATTCCTCCCTTTACATACTTTGATATGCTAGTCTTTTTTTTTTGCTTTGATAAATTTGATATGCTAGTCTATGAGCCATCTCATTTTCCTTTCTACTTCACCCCGTATAATTATCAATCTACTTGCAAGAGAACATGGGATGGTTTAAATCACAAAATATAGTAAACTAGTGAGGCCCCGTGCGATGCACGATAAAGTTTGAAACCAAATAATAAGATCGAAGGAAAGTAATTCATAGTAAAATAATAAATGTGCAAATACTGTTAATTTAAGGTTAATTAAACCATAATTATTATTAATTTGTAATTAAATTTAAATAATTATTGTTAGTCGATAGTAAAATAAGTAAATCACTGTTTATATAAGTAATTGAATGGTGATGGAGCAGGTTTGGGGCAGAGACCATATTCCCCATTCCCGACCCCGACCACTGCTAGGGATAAAAGTTACCCTCTATTCTCGATCCCTGACAAAGATGGGTTTCTCGTGGGGAGCCGAATCACCAAAATTTTTTTAATTAAAAGTATTTTTTTGAAAAATAAATTTACTTAAAATAAAGAACAATTTAAAATATAAATAATATCTTAAATATATTTTGATATATATAATGTAAATAATCTATACTATATATTTAAAACAAAGTGGTTCATGTCAATTACCCTCTCCTTTCTCCAAATCCCTTTCCTCAACTCTTTCTCATTTCCACTTCCCACCACTCCCATTTTGCCAATTCAGCACCCTTTCTCTTCATTCCTTAAATAAATAAGATAACGAAATTAACCAATTTACTGTTAATTATGTAATTAAAGTTAATTAAAAGAATTTTTGGAAAATAGATTCACTTAAAATATAGGAAATATTTAAAATATAAATAATATTTTTAATATATTTTGATGTATATATAATGTAAATAATATTTAATTTATAATCAAGGTTGAAGCAAGGCAGGGTAGGGACTTCACTCTCCATCCTTGTCCCCATCCCCAATTAGGGATCCCTATTAATTCCATTCCCCACCCTCGCCCTATCCCTATCCTATTAATCCCCATTGGGTTGAGGAGGTTAAGTACCCAACGAGAATGGGGGAAATTGCCATCCCTAAGTAATTTTGTTAATTAAACAATCTAACTATATTAAGCAACCTAATAAATTAAAGGTTTAAAGTGTTAAAAATTCAGTAAATTAACTAGTGTAAATTAAGTAATTATTATGGAAACTTATAATTAACCATTTTACTATTAATTATGCAAATAAAGCTAATGAAATTAATTAGTGTTAATTATGTAAACCATTGGTGTTATATAACCTAAGAATGGGGTCTGCAAGGTTTTGACTCAAGATTTTAATGCAACCCATATTTTTCTTGGCAATGGAAGAGGAATATGGAAATGGAAGATTGTTCAAAATCATCCCAAAATACTTTATCCAATTTTTTAAGGAATCGGGTTCTATTCTATGAGATGTATATCTCACTAATGAGATAAACTATCCTAATATGAAAATGTAATTAAAAGGGTGGTGACATGACATCATGAGAGAGAGAGAGAGGGGGGTATACTTAAAATGAT